AATTCTTCTCTAGCTCAGAGGGGTAAGGGAGAGTTTAGACAACTGGTCTGACCACTTTCTAAACACTTTCAGATCATCTGGTACCAAAAGGGTTTCAGAATTTTCTTGGGAGCTAAGAAGATCTTTCACCTCGAGAATGCACGGCATAAGAAATTCTCCAACTCTTTCAACCAAATAAAGCTCCCAGCTGGGGGCTTCCCTGGTGGCGCAGTGGTTGGGAGTCCGCCTGCCGATGCAGGGGACGTGGGTTCGTGCCCCGGTCCGGGAGGATCCCACATGCCGCGGGGTGGCTGGGCCCGTGAGCCATGGCCGCTGAGCCTGCGCGTCCAGAGCCTGTGCTTCGCAACGGGAGGGGCCACAACAGTGAGAGGCTCACATAAAAAAGTAAAAAAAAAAAGTTCCCAGTTGGAATAAAATGCTCTCAGCACGTCTTGGTATAAGGGCTCTGTACTACATTTACTAATAAGGCATAAATGAATGCTAATAAATGCTAATAATTAAAATGAATTCTTAGGGTACAAAGTAGAACGGTCATATTTAGCAAAAAAAAAAAAAAAAAAAAATTCAGGAGCCCTGTAACATTACAACAAATTATCTTTTAATATCAGTATGTCCCATGCAATATTGGGGCACACTTATGCTAAAAAAAAATTTGTCATTGATCTGAAATTCACATTTAACTGGGTTTCTGTATTTTTCTTGCAACCCTAGTAAAAAGCCTTATCCAGCAGCCCGTAGCCTATCTGGAGACAGTCTCCAAGTCTACAGTGGGCCAAGCTTCCAAGAGCTAAGAAGTTATCTGTAAGGAATCTGGATTGATACGTGACAAGTAGCATTCACTGGACAGTGAACGAAATAGTTCATTTTAAGGATCCTCTCTGAGGATTTTTTTTTCCTTCCATAACTAACAAGTACATCACTTCAAATATGTGTCCCTCTTTAGGACTCAGGGATATCATAGAGTCTCCTGTCTGTGATCCCGAAATCTAGACTTAGGAACTTCCCTCGCGTGGAAAGAAAGCCACAGTCTGGTCAGGTATGAATGAGGGATTTCCCTCCCCTTGCAATGCTTCTGGGGACGGACGACAGGGCCTGTGAATGCTACTGGGTTTTCAGAAAGTGAGACCAGAAGACGTTTCCCGACTCTGTATTTCCGGCGCCATCCCTGGCTGGGTCACCCCCAGGTACGTCCTGAGGAGCCTTCCTGGGGCTGCTGCTGCTAATGATGCTGGGAGGTGAGCATCAGGCCAAAGGCAACGGTTAAGCATTTGCAAGATTTCCCGCTGTGGCTGCTTGGTCTGTTATTTAAAAGAGTGACCCTAGTGAGACCAGAGCTCTGAAGGAGGGGCTGGATTCCGACCAGGGGAAGGAGGAGGACCGCTGACCGAGGATGCCTAATTGAGTCGCACTGATGAGCTGAATGCTGTCCTCCTGTGAGTCCCTGTTCATCAACCCCAATCCTTCCTGGTCCTGATAGAAAAACATATTAAAATGCTAAGCGAGGCTAGGAATTGGACTCTAGAACCACGGGAAGCTGCATTTGGGAGGAGGGGAAGGAAAAGACAATGGAGAAGAGTGAGGGATGCAGGTCCATGGACAAAGGGAGAGAGCCCAGAGGAGATGCCCAGCAGGCAGTCAGAGGGAGAAGCCTGCAAGATTCGGGGAACCGGGGCAGAGGAGAAGGTTCATAGAGGAGACAGCTTGGTGGAGAAACGCTCTGGTAAGTCTGGTGAGACCTTTACACAGTGTACTTGGGACGCTGAGGGAAGGTGGACTCTCTCTCTGCTCTGCCCTGGTACTGGAGGATGTAGGAATAATCTGCTGCGCCGTCCTTGTTCCTTTTAGGACCTGCTGCACTTGAGAAGATGGAGGGGTGGGCGCGTGCGGTTCTCTTGACAATAAGCTCTAAGCACGGGGTACAGAGGACCGAGGAGAGCCACCCTCCTGAGGGGCCATAAGAGATGGCGACAAAGGTTACAACCAATGGTGGTTCCAAAGATACAGTGGTTAGAGACCTGGCTTCCGAGATAACAGTTACAGTCTGATGTGAAGTAAGCCAAATGGGAGATACTATCTTCAGAGAGCTGCTTACCCAGAGGAAGCTCTAAGGTAAAAGCAGGCATTCCTGAACCACGTGTATGAACCCCAATGTAATACCCACTCGATTTCCTTGTGTTGCTCGGCAGACGTTTTCTGTTCGCTCATCTTGGTTTCAATGAACAAATATTTGGGAAAATGAACTGAACTAGGGAGAAAACATGAATGTACAGAACCGAATATGTAGTAAGTTTTTAAAGGAGGTGCCCCTTGTCTTGCAAAGAGGAGCAGAACAGAGACGCTCCCGTAGAGCAGGGAGGCACCAGGCAGCTCAGCAACTCGGAGGACGTCATGCGTTTGCTCCAGGTGTCTTCCCTGGTGCCACGAGAATGAGGAAGACAGAAGGGTCCCCGCTTTCAGAGAACTTACAGGGAAGACAGATAATAAAGCACAGAACGACGATCGTCTTTATTGGAAAGGCACAGGAGGCGGGGCAGGCGTGTAACCGAGTGATATTAGTCCAGGGCTCAGCTTTCAGGGGAAGGGACGCCAAGACTGAATCCTGAGGGATGCAGAGAAGGAGGCAGGGAGAGGGGCACGTGCACCTGTGTATGGCTGGGCAGGGGCGCCTGGGGAGCACATTCAAGGCAGCAGTAGGAGCTGGGAGGGAGAGAGAACACGGGAAGTTCAGCGTGGCAGGAAGGCGGTGTCGAAGCGACGAGGGGCAGGAGACGGTTTTGGAAAGCTAGGAAGGCTCATGCTGTGGAAGGCTCTATAAACCACATTAAGGAGATGGGACTTTATTATAGGAGCAATGAAAAGCCGCTGAAAGGTATTAAGCAAGAAAGTGATGAAATCACATTTTCATTTTAGATCACTCCGGCTGCAAAGGAGATTGAAAAGAAGCAGAACTGGAAGCCAGAAGAGATTTAAGAGGCCCTGCAGCAATGCGAGTAGAAAGAGGTGGACTGGGCGATGGCACGGGGATGAAAATAAGTGAAAGCTCTCCAAGGCGAGCCCACAGACAAGGCCACGGCTGGCTATGCGGGGTCAGGGCTATGGCATCTAGGACACCTTGGGCATTTTTACTTTAGGAGACTGGGTAACAGGAGGTACCCTTTATAAGCGCTGCCAATGTGGCTAGAAGAGGGTGGGAGGGTTGAAGGGAGAGGAGACAGCTGTGCAGCCTTGGGTATGGTATGTTCTAGGGTGCATGGCGTCCAAAGGAACAGATGTGGTCATACATAGACGGACGTGGGGCTCAAGGGAGAGGTTTCAGCCAGCGATGTCCGTCTGGGGGAACTTACAGACATCGATTGTATTCTTGGCAATGGAGGAGAAAAGAAGAGAGTCTAGGGACTTCCCTGGTGGTCCAGTGGTTAGGGCTCTGAGCTTTCACTGCCGAGGGCACGGGTTCTATCCCTGGTCGGGGAACTAAGATCCTGCAAGCCGCAGTGCGCAGCCAGAAAAACAGAAAGAAAAGAGAAAAGAGGGTAGAGGACAGACGCCAGAGAAGCACCCATATTTAAGAGACAGGTAAAGCCTGAGACAGAATCGCCAGGGAGGCAAGAAGAACGCCAAGATGGTCTGTACCAACATGGAGGGATAACTAGGGATGGCAGAGAAAGCAGAGAGTTCAAGGTGGGGGAATAGCAGGATTGGATCACAGATGCAGCCACAGAAAAACGACTTTTAGTGTCAACTCTGAATTAGGAGCTTAGACAAGAGGCTACAGAGTCCAAGTCCCTTCCAGAAGCTAAATAAGTACAAGTCAGTACACATTCAACCTCCTCTGAATGTATTTCAACCTCCTTACAGTACACTTTCTAATATTTTATTTCTTAAGCTGGGTGGTGGGTACCTGAGCATGGGTTAAGTTTTTCTGAATATCTCTCTATATGTCTGATATAGTTCATAATAAAGGTGAAATGGATACCCAAAATACACTGTTGAGTGAAAGGAAGGCAGGTTGTTGAACAGCACGTCTGGGTATATTTCCATTTATGGAAAACTGTAGCTGTACCTCCACACAGGTATACAGCACCGGGAGACAGCTAGAAAGACAGTCATTAATTATTTCAGTAATGACCGTTTTGGCTAGTCAGAGTTAAGGTCATTTTTATTATTTTTTTTTTGAGCTCTTCTATATTGTTTGAATTTTTACAGTGTACGCACGTAGCAGTTTTATACAAATAACAAAACCACAAAAGCACAGTGTAGAATTTTCTACCCCACTTGGTCACACGATGGCCCCTAAGAGGATGTGCTGCCATCGTAGCTGGATTCTGAGGTGAGGTCAGGGGAGGGGGATTCCACCCACACCTTCTTCTCGTTCAATAAGCCAGACTGACAGCCGCCATCAAAGCTGCTCTACACCAGCACTTAATCTCAAAGGCAGAGAAAGGCGAAGCAAAGGCAGATTAAAAACCAAGGGACGAATCCTCTTCATGTGCCTACAGACCCATGGACCCTATTCCCCATTCCCTCTCGGTACAGCAGTGTCACAAAGGTAAGGGGGCTGGTCTTCCCTCATTTCTATGCCCGTCTCATCTTTCATAGTGATCAGGCGTGTAGCGGTCAGAGAGACCTGGGTTCAACTCCAAACTGCACCTCTTACTTTCAGCGTGACTTCGGACACGCCTATTCTCTTGTATTATAAAATGAAACAATTTTTAAAAGCTGCCTAATGAGAGTTGTTGCCTTGAGGGTTAAATGAGGTCGAACACACGAAACGCTCGGAGTGAGACCCGGCACACGGGAGGTGGTCAAGAAGAGGGAGATGTTTTGCATTTCTTAGAACAAGCACACAGCGCAGCGAGCTCTGGATCCGGGTCTCCCACCGTCACGAACGATCGCCACCCCAACGACCAGTCTTCAACCTCAGACCTCTTGAACTGCCCCTCCCACAGTTTCTGAACATCCAATCCAGTCTTGGAAGCTCTCCTCTGACCTCCCACACTCACCTGTTCAGCATATTGGACTGGTAGATTCTCTTCTCGTGGGTGTTGTAACAGCTGCTCTTGGGCTCGGGGATGAAGCTGTGTTCGGACAGCATGTCGGAAGCAGCGGTGGTGATGATGGCGATTCCATCCCTCACTCTGGCAGGGAGGCCATAGTCCCATTCATCATAGGACACAGAGATGAGCCCGGTGGGGAACTCCGAGGGCACTGTGTCTGTGTCCCCTGCCACCAGACTAGGCACAATCCACGTGTAGCCGTAGCCAGTCAGCCCTACTGAGTTGGCCACTTCGAAGATGTAGGTGGCTTCTTCCTTAGTACAATAAAGAAGAATGATGGGGCTTTGAAGTTTCTTGAGCTGGTTCTGGATCTTAGAATCTCCATCATCCAGGGACATGTCCAGCAGGAGGACTTCCTCTAACTCCCAGCCCACGAAGCTATTCTCGATGGTGCTGCGAATCTTGTTTACAAAGTCCTGGTAGCCAGGGAAGTAGGTGGTGACGATAGAGAAGATGTACCAGTCATACTCCTCCATGATATTGAGCATCACGGAAGCTTGTTGTTCAATCGATGGGCCGAACTGGAAGAACATTGAGGACTCATCCTAAAGTCGTGAACACAAAGAGAGAGAGAGAGAGAAAAACCAAAACGAAGATGGTGAGGGAGAGTTTGGACCATCTGGATACAAAGGTTTGTGTTCATTATTTACTCTGTCCACATAATGCCTCTAAAATTGGATATGTTTAAATTGCAAACATTTGTAATACTTTCCTTCCTAAAACCTTCCTCTTGAGAAGATCGACATGGGTCTCTACTCTTCTTGTCTGAAATCCTTGGGGCTACTGCAGAGCCTCAGGCAGCTTCCTAAAATCAAATATGCTAGTATTTCTAGAGCAAAACATGTGAAGGGTCACATAAAGTGGGATAAAGACTGTAAACGGCGTCATGTCAGTTCAGGTCAGGTTTTGCTGTCAAAGGAGTTATATGAACACAAACACACACTTTCCATTTTTTGAGGCTTTTGGATTCATCAATTGGGGATATGTATTATTCAATCGGAGTGAAGAATCCAAAATGCCATCAATCTGCCCTTAAATCTACCTCTAGTCGCCCAGCAGGTGGGTGGTACTCAGGTATGGCTAGCAGGGAGGCACGCTGTAGTACAAGATTTTCTATAAACACATAATTGTTAGGTGAAATGCACATGGAATTTTCTCTCTGTCTTCTACTCTGACAATGAGGTATGTAGGTGGAGTAATGCACACGTAGTACGTGTCAGCTGCAAGGTAGAATGACTTGTCTTTAAGGTCATATATGATTAAGCTTTATATGAGAACAACATAGAAAGGATTGTTCTTTCTCTTACCTATATAATGCCACGGGTCTCCGTCTGACCTGTGTATTGCATACAACCCTCCGTCAATTCTAAACATCTTATGTTTTCTCCCACCTCTTGAGGGAGAAGCCATTTTAAATGTGTCCCATTTTAAGCTGTATTTCACCTGCTGTTTGGAGATGTCAAGCCCTGCATTTTGTCTCGATCTTACAGCTAGAAGAATCTGAAGCCACACAGTGAAGACCCTCTCAGCCTCGTCCTTCTCTTTCAGTCCATTTTCCCCTGACTTCCTCCTGGGTAACGACATCTCTTTTCTTGGTCAGTGGCCCCTATCGCCTATCTGATGGTTCATCTCCATTTATAACAATCCAAGCTAACAAAATTGTGTCTTTAATTCAAAGGGGTGGTTCTTTTTTATCCCCCAAACTAGAGCTTCAAAGTACGGTTACAAGAGATCAGGCTTTTAAACAAAAATGATGCAGTGATTTCTTAGTTCAGGAACACATTGTTGTACAGCTGAGAAACCGCGGAGTATTTTTTGGGCAACCGCTATTGAAAAACAAAAAAAATGCAGGCTGGGAACTATCCAGCTGGTGTCCAAAGACCCTGATTGGGCAACGAAAGCCGCCAGCCCCTCGAGGCTCTGCCAGAGCTGTGTGTGCTTCACGTGGCTTGAACTCGTCACATTCCCCGCAAGCGATCCAGAATGAAACAGTAGCTGCCTGGTCGTCTGGGGGCAACTCCTTCCGCTAAGGGTAAAATGGTGCTTATAATGGCTCCCTCCCCTGGCTTCAATATACAGTCAAGGAGGAGCCTGGTAGGACAGTGGAATTCAGAGAAGTAGAGAGGGTGGGGCAGCAAGAATGGGAGGGGAGGGAATGGAAATTAATTCAGGATAGAACAGTGGCTTCGTATGTGGCCAGTCCCTGCTCCTGGTCTTCTACTTCAGTGCCACTATGTACTGCTATTCAGGGGAAGCTGACCTTGTCCTTAGGTCGTAGGATAGAGTGGGCATCCAGGACAACAAAGCTTAATTATGACAAGACTTGTCAGGGGCCCGCAGCGAACCACAACTACAGGAAAGGAAGGCCCTGCGACAGAACAACTCACCCAGAATGGTTATCACTTTAAAGGGACAGCCATTTGTTCTCCTTGTTAGTTCCAGCTAAGTTAGGGAATTTGGGGAATTCTCAAATGAGAGGTATTATCACTTGAGTTTTCACCAGCCCAGTGGTCATAACAAAGTGACAAAAGCTTTTAAATGTACCTTAAAATGCACAGGCTTAGGATGGGAGGGGTCCCCACTGTAAACAAAGTAAGTCTACCCATTCTATGATAAATGAACATATCGTAAGGAGGTTCTTGAATACCCACAAAGCTGCATCTACAGTGAAACCACAGCTGGTTCAAATACACAGCTAGAGACAGCCTTGAAAGGAAACCCATGGAGGGGGCAGGACGGTCCTTAGCAAATGAGCCCATGCTAATGAGACTGACTTTAAAAGAAAACCAATCTACTACATACCAACCTGACCCTCTTCTCTCTTAGTCTTCTCTTAACACTCGCTCACAATTATAAATGAGCTCCTAAAGAAACCGCCAGCTACTATGTGAAGAAAGCCAATATATGGTGAAAGTAAGAAAAGAGAAAAATTAATATGGCTCCATCTAACCCTCACCACATCCCCATCTAGCCTTCTACTTCTCCCTTCCTCCACAATCATCCTTCTTCCGATTCCTCTGCTCCCGTCAATGCCCAGTTCAACCATTTTATCTTGCCCATCCTTCATCAAATAAGGATGCCTTACACGGCCATTTTAGCTGCGGCACCAAGAGGAGGTTAATGAAACCAAACAGGAATCGAGAGACAAAGTTATAGCTTGGGCAAATGCTTCCCAGTATAATGAGTGGTCCAGCATTATTCATTTAGTTGACCCATCAGTCTGGTGTATGGTAATTGGGAATGGGACAGCTCTTTCTCAACAAAGCTTTGGGCTAACTAAAAGTTGGAAGCAGTGACAGACTTTGCAAATTATGGTCACAGCCACAGATCAAAGAGCAATCTTCACGTGTGCATGGAGTGGAAAGGACTGGTGGCCACCATCCATCTTTGCAGGCTCCCAGCATGCACTGTGATCACCACAAGAAGCAGCATCTTCTAGGATGAAGGACAGGGATCTAATTCAGCTCACTATGCTTCCACACTTACATTTTTATTCTCCTAATGTCATTACAAAATGTTATGTGCAGGGCTCCTTGGAGCAGTCTCGTCCTCCTTGGGAAGATTCCCAGTCAAATTTATTGCGTGAATGTACTTCTTTAACTTGCCTTGAGAGCCCCTTATAGCAGTCCTAGGTAAAAGGCTATCATGACTGATAGGTGCAGTCGGCACAGGGAAGACACGATTGTACGTTAGACCCCATCAGTCTGGAACTGTTACGGTGAACCTCATCACGTTGATGTTCAGGGTGTTTATTTGCCAATAAGAAGAAACAAAAACAGGTACTTTTTTTCATTCTATTAACTGTCTCAGAAAACAGCTGCCTAAAGAATTAGCAGTACATGAGATCCTTCTTCTGCATCACTGAGATCCCTTCCAGATCCACTTCAGACATAAGGGATTAACTACCCCAGCTGGTGCCCCTAGCAATTGGTTTCAGCTGCCATCCCACTTTGGGGACTGTGTCAGCTGAAGAGAACCACCTGGCCCAAAGTCACGTCCCCTTCCTGGGGTAGAAGGCATTGAATGACTGGCGGTCGTGGCGTCTAAAGACCTGGTCCTCTTGCCCTATTTCTAGGCAACTCTGAAGGATGAGTCTATCTTCAGAACTTCCCACAAGCTTCCATTAATACTGCGTCTCACCTGTATTTCTCTCTCTGCCCACTCCTGCCCAATCTTCCCTTCCTTTCATGGTGTTGATCTCAAAAGCATTCCCTCCTGAACCCCCTGTCCACCAACTTAGTCTCAGGTCAGCTTCTCAGGGAAGGCAACTGGAGACTTTATCCATTTCCCTTTTTTCAACATGGAAAAGAGATGACTATTTGCAAATATAGAAACGACTTATGTGGTAGAAAGATAAGTCTCTGCCCATTAGCTCCAGAGGAGAAAACCGGGACCAATGAGCAGAAATAGTAAAAGGCACTGCTTGGCTCAATGTAGAAAGTACATCTGCAACAATTACAGCTATTTAAAATGAAATGGGCCTCATAAGGTAGGGAGCTCTCTGTAGTTATAAACATTCAAAAAGGAGCTGGATTATTACCTGATAAAGGGATTCTCCTCAGCACTCCATCTGGAAAATGTCATGCTCATCTTTCAGACCTAGTTCAAATGTCAGCTTTTTTATGCATATCACCTTTTCTAACTTCCCCAGGTCAAGTTAGTTCTGTCTCCCCTGTGCTTTTGCAATATTTTACACATGCCTATATCATAATATTTATATATTTTTTAAAGTTTTTATTGAAGTATAGTTGATGTACAAAATTATGTGTTACACACGTACAATACAGTTATTCACAACTTTTAAAGGTTATACTCCGTTTATAGTTATTATAGAATATTGGCCATATTCCCCAGGATGTTGTAAAATATACCCTTGTAGCTTATTTTATACCTAATAGTTTGTACCTCTTAATCCGCTCCCGCATATTGCCCCTCCCCCGTTCCTTTTCCCACTAGTAACCACTAGTTTGTTCTCTATACCTGTGAGTCGGCTTCTTTGTTATATTCACTAGTTTGTTGTATTTTTTACATTCCATATGTAAGTGATATCATACAGTATTTGTCTTTTTCTGACTTATTTCACTTAATGTAAGTCCATCTATGCTGCTGCAAATGACAAAACTTCATTTTTTTATGGCTGAGTAGTATTACATTGTATATATATACCACATCTTGTGAACCCATTCATCTGCTGATGGACACTTAGGTTGCTTCCATATCTTGGCAACTGTAAATAATGCTGCTATGAACATTGGGGTGCGTGTATCTTTTTAGTGATTTTTTTTTCAGATATATACCCGGGAGTGGGATTGCTGGGTCATATGGCAGTTCTATTTTTAGTTTTTTGAGGAACCTCCATACTGTTTTCCATAGTGGCTACACCAATTTACACTCCTACCTAGAGTGTATGAAGAAGGTTCCCTTTTCTCTTGGGAAGCATATATGCCTGCCTCATGCCATTAAAAAAGGTATGTTTCTCAAGAGCAGGAACTGTGCCTTATTCATCTCTGGATCCCTAGGTGGCACATGAAAAAAACTTAAATGT